AAAACCTGCTAAATGAGACTTAGATAAGTACTGGATGATAAAGCTCAAAGTAAAAAAAAAATGGAGGTGAAGATGGTTCAAATGTTTCCTCAAGAAATAAATAGCTTTTATCAAACCAGGGCTATAGATTTTTCTCTTTTCTCCTCGTTTCACACAAGGGTGTTGATGGATTTGAAGGTTTATTTTGCTCCTTTCTGAGAGGCTGGTGCTTTTGTTTGAAGAACAACTGAACTGTGTAATTAGCATACACTAAACGATTGCCATGAATATTGCTTTAAACTGAAGTCATTTAAAAAGCAGACTTGGAAATGACTTTTCCATGAATGCAGATTTTTGTGTTAATAAAACCCACACAGGAGATGTGACAATGGGCAAAAAGAATCTTAAGTTATTTTTGAAAATGTTGATTGGCAGAGAAAGAAATGATTCCTTTGTGGTAGAGTGGTGGTAGAACTTTCCCAAGAATGAAAAAGATCAAGTAGGTATAAACAACTGTCCTGGGAGGTGGATGAGTTTATTGCATGAAGCTGAGATGTCCCAGAAGGATTTTACCTTTGTGAGCATGGAAATAAAATCCATTGATGGCGAAGTCTCAGGAGCATCTACATAACCCTTGATGATGCCAAAAAGACTGTTGCTGAAACCGAGGCTTGTCTAGGGCCAGAGAGAAAGAAAACAAGAGTAGGCACACACCTGGGATAAGGAANTATTTTGTTGTAGGACCTCAGAGGACAAAACACTATGGGGAGCAATGTCAAGTTTTGGCTTTGGCAAGAAGTACTTTGAAAGAAGATGATGTGTATTTATTTTTTAGGGGGGAGGGTGTTGGTAGCTGTGCAGCAAAGAGAACTTGAAGATAAGAAGAAGGTATTCTCACGGTGCACTGAGATGCTTGAGAAACGCCATAACTGGGAAGTTGTTATGAGGTCCACATTGAGTTAATAATGGTCAGTCTTAGAAATCCAGTTCCCCCATGCTGTCAGCTGTGTGAGATTAGCCAAATTATTGAACCTCTCCGAGCCTCAGTTTATGTCTCAATGACTTCCTCAGATGGCTCACATGTGAATAACAAGATGTCCCAATCTTCCTGCTGGTGAGTTTCTTGTGAGACACTGTTGTAGACAGACTGTTTACTGTTCATTTATTTCTCCTTCCTGGAGAGGATTATATGTACCCACTGTACTGAAGGTAAGCTTGGCCATGTGACTTTTTTTGGCCAATGAAATGTGAACAGACATGCCATGTGTTGCTTCAGACACAAATTTGAAGAGCCAGTGAGTGCTTTGCCAGTCTCTTATGCCTTTGCCATGGCAGCTGGTGGCATTCCTGAAGGTGACTGCTCCATCAGCATGGGGCCCAGAATCAGGACAACAACACAGTGGAAGCAGAGCATAAGTGAGGTGGGAACAAAACCACTCAGATTCGGGGGTCATTTGTTATGTGGCACAGCTGAATCTAACCTGACTGATGTAGAAACTTTTAAACTTAGGAAACATTTTTATAACTCATCCTTGTGTGTCTACAACATCATATGGAGCATGCAAATGTGGGTTTATTATAGATCTTTAGAGAAGAGTCTATTAATATCCCATCTTTTAGTAGGCTCTAAGTGGACTTAGTGTTTTGATGAGAAGCTATTTCCCAGACTATTTTTTAAAAAACTAAATTAAAAAATTTAATTGACTTAAGGAATTGAGAATCCTGAGATTTTAGCTAATTCCCAAAACTTTATATTCTTTCTCTTGTTTTCTCTTATTTAAATTTGTTTTCAAAGTTTACTGAAGGATCTCCCTACTTTATGCCTAATTTCCTGCTGATTTTTGCCCTGTTCAAACTCCTCCTTCTTCATATCTCACGTCAAGCATCATCTCCCCAGGAAGCATTTCCTACCCATGACTACCCCACTATCTACCCCAACCTAAGCTTCTTTTGTTGGATGCTCATATTGTCTATGTTCCTTTTCCCCACCCCCAGCATTTATCTTATTTATTATATAATCAGTAGTATCATTATTGGATTACTTCCCCCCCCGATAGACTGAAACTTCTTGAAGAGTAGGGGCCTTGTCTAATTTTGCACATTATTGTGTACAGGGAAAGCCCTACACGGAGCACTTAGCAAGTGCTCAATCAATCTCAATCTACATGTTGCTTTTTTTTAATGGAGTGTAAGGATTCAAAACCTGCTAAATGAGACTTAGATAAGTACTGGATGATAAAGCTCAAAGTAAAAAAAAAA